GAAGGGGGCGCCTCTGCGACATGCACCAGAAAATCTCCTGCTTCCATCGCCCAAAATCCTCCGTGTCTTCCCTATACTCCGCCTGTTTCCTCAACCACTCTATCGACTTCATCTCCTCCAACTTCTTCTTCCAACATCCTTTACACATCTCCGTCTGCGCACTCTCCCACTGCTCTGCGTGACACACCGTGCATAACTCCTGCTCCGCCTTCCACTCCTTCCACTGCTCGTGTGTTCCTACAAAAACGTGTTCGTCGCGGTCATAAGTGGCGGAGGCGGATTTGCTGGTTTTGGCGACTGTGACGCCGCATTGGGGACATTCGAGGGAGCGGCGATGGGAGGTGATGAAGGGTTCGCCGCAGTCGATGCAACGGCGACGGGGATATTCATGTGTAGTAGTGAGATGGCTGAGGTCGGGTTGACGTCCGACTCGTCGGGCGGCGTCCTGGTCGCAGTGGCGGGGCTTGGAGTGGGGGAACGTTCTCCAAGTGCAATTGCAGCGAAAGGAAGTGCGTCGTTGAGCGGGCATGGTGGGGTGAGGACGACTGGAATCAGGGTGAAGAGGAGTAGGAGACTGAGGGAAAGGGGAACAATCTGGGGACGCATATATATAAGGAAAAGGGACTTGGTTCGATAAAATGTCTGTTCGAGAAATAGTAAGCGATCGAGTCACTGAATCGGAGAGGATGTGGGTCAAGGGGATGTAATTAGATCATATGGGAAAGGAGACACGGAAATGATGTGGGTCCTGAGAGAAAATGTCAGTGGGCGTTCTGGAGAATATCATCGATCATTCCATCGAGGATGGCGTCTCCTTCTCTTCCGTTTGGAAGTCCTGCTCTCCTCCTGCGCATATTGTGACAATCTCTCCTAGTATGCCCGAGATCTCCGCACTCCCAGCATCTAATCCCATGGTTGCCTCGACGCTGTATGGAAGACTCTGGGCATCTCGTCGTGGAACCGCGGACTGCTTGAATCGATGTAGTCTGGGAGCGGTCTGCATGGTAGTCGGAAGCATTCGAGGAGTCTTGCTCAGGAAGGTGTCCGTTTCGAGGAATTTGAAGGCTGCTTCCCATTCCGCTTGGATAGGCGTAACCGGAAGATCCGTCAGGTGGTGAGGGAGTGAGTTCTCGGCTAAAGGGAGCTTGGAAGATGCGGATAGGGACGCCACTTCTTCCGGAGGGGTGAGAGTCTGAGGAGTGCGTGTGATGGGAGCTAGGAGTTTCGGTGATAGGGTTCGCTGATTGGTTGGGGAAGGTACCGGATGGGCTTGGTCGAGATGCTGTTCCAGAAGCTGATAGTCCGACTGTAGGAAAGACGTGGGGGAAGATGACAGATTCTGCGCGTAAATCGATAAGGGTACCTGCAATGCTTCGTCGATCCCAGTCGAGAGCTCCCAAGCTTCGTTCGCATCTGGCTTCCTCCATCTCCAATCGTCCCAATTCCTTTCTTCGTTCTCTAATTGCCTCTGTAACCTCGATGTATTTGTGAGCAAAACGTTGGACTCTCTCGTTTCCACAGGCGTTGATGGCTGCGCTAGTCTGGGCATGGGTAACTGGGTTTGTGAGCCAGTCGTGGAACAGTCCAGGGAGGTTCGGAAGGGTGGAAGAGGCGTTAGATTCAGGGGTGGAATTGGAAGAGGCAGATTGCGGGGGAGATGGGTCATTGGAGCGAGTTCCAGGCATGGGAGTTGGGACACGGTGGATTCCGTGGCGAGGTTCTGAGTCCGAGGATCCGTTGTGATTGGAGGATATGGTAACGTGGGGATTGGCATATGAGGAGGGTGGAGGTACTGGGATTGGGTCGGCGTTTGATTCAGGAGGGGATTGTGACGTGGATGAGCTTCGTTCTGGATCCAATTGATATCCGAGTTCTCCGGCCCTTCGTTGTAACCATTCGAGGTCAGGCCCCATGATGCGAAAGAGGTAGGGTCGATTGGTAACGAGGTTGAGTAAGAGTCGAAGAATGGCATTCTCTCTGACGTTGATGTCGGATAGTACGTGCTGGGATTCGCCATTGTGACGTATCCTGGGATTGGGGATGGATGTGTTGTCGTTAGTGCCGATGATCCCGAAGTGGGCGCTGAAGACGATGCGATCGGTGCCTGAGGATCTTCTCGACGCAGGTCTCGGTATTGAACTAACTTCGTCTTCTTCGGCAAGCGTGGGTGAGCTAGGCTGGGATTCGACGTAGGGAACGAGGCTGTTTCTAGGGAGGGTGACATTGACCGTAGTCGTTTCGGGCAGATGTTGCGTGTCTTGGGCATTTGCCATGTGGTGAGTTGGTTTGAATATCAGTTTGGAGGATGTGAAGAGGCTGAGGAGGCGTTGAGTTTTCGATTTAGGGCAAATTTACCCCCCTTCTTATACTCAACGCTGACGTGGCCTTGTGCGTCTACGTGTACTTGGTTGGCTGTGTCTTGAGGGAGCCTGCGGATTCTGCGCGTAGAAGTCAAGGACGACTTGGTCGTCCTTGTGAAATTCGTGATGTGGTCTCCACTCATTATCCGAGTCAGGATATCCTGTGTAGTGTACCAGATAGTGCAGTTCTGGTTTGCTGCGGCCTCCGGGTGATCTCCATTCCGCATCAAGGATTTCATCAACTTCGAACTGTTCTTCGTTGTTAATGATATCAGGTGGCGGATACGTGGCAGATGGACCATTTTCCTTGGTCTGGACATATGGCGTGAGGAGTCCTGCGTGAAACACCGGATGTATCTTCCACGTCGGTGGGAGTTTGAGCTTGAAGGTGATTGGTCCGAGCACGTCGTCTATGCGGAAGGGTCCGAATCGCTTTGGTCTAAGTTTGGCAGAAGGATGAGTTGTCGTGATATTCTTCCCTTCCAGCCAAACCTTGTCCCCTTTCTTGAATAGGGGTGGTTGTCCTTCGATTCGTTGTCTCATGATATCAGCTGCGATCTGATGTGAACTTTCCGCGTCTGCGCGGGCCTTCCGTAGTTCCGTGAGGCGATGTTTGATGGATGGGACTGTGGTCTGTTCGTTCATTTCTGGGAACCAGCGTGGCTGGTATCCCATGAGAAGATAGAACGGTGATTCCTTGGTGGATGAGTGTTGTGCCGAGTTATGAGCGAATTCGGCGAATAGGAGATGCTTGGCCCAATTGTTCTGTCTGTAGTTGCAGAATGCTCGTAGGAATTGTTCCAGTTCTTGATTGACTCTTTCTGTTCCTCCGTCTGTCTGTGGGTGATACGCCGTGGAGAATCGTTGATCGATGTGTAACTTCCGATATAGTTCCTTGAGGAATGCTGAATTGTACTGCATTCCGCGGTCGGATATCGCAGTCTGGGGAAGCCCGAATCTTCTGAAGACGTGTTGAAAATAGATGTCCGCAGTTTGTTCGGCTGTAATCGTGCTGTTGCATGGGACCATGACTGCGGCTTTGCTTGAGTCATGGTCACAGAAGACTGCGATTGCGTCATATCCGTCGGATTTGGGTAGTTCCGTGATAAAGTCCATGGTGACTGTCTGGAATGGAAGTGTCGAGGTGGCTGGTATTGGCATGATGGGGATGGGGTCTCGATGGGTCTGGTTCTTGGTTGCTTGACATGTAGTGCATCCCTTGACATAGTTGCGGATGAATCGCGTCATGCTTGGCCACCAGAATTCTCGTCCTATAGCGATTATGGTGGCAAACTGTCCGCGGTGTCCGGTTGTGGGTAGATCATGGTGAAGTCGAACAACCTCCTGTCGTAGTTCTAGATCATTTGGGATGTAAAGGCGCTTCTTGTGGTACAAAAAGCCGTCCTTTTCTTCCCAATCAGTCAAGTCCTTGTGAAGGGTAGCGTTGCCAGACTTGAGCATTGATAACGATTCTGCTAGTTCCGGTTCATAGGCGGTACTCTGCCGAATTCGTTCTCGTAGGTCGTGTTCCGTTGTTGTTGTCCTGACAAAGACTTCGTCTGGTAATAGGATCTTGTCTTCGTTATCGTGGGATCCATCGTCGTGGTCTCGTCTTCGGGATAATGCGTCAGATTTGACTTGAGTTGCGCCGGCTTTGTGGGTTATCTGAAAGTCGTAGTCCTGTAGTTCCGCACTCCACCGGGCTTGTCTCCGGTTGAGTTTGCGGGCCGTCCTAAAGTATTCCAGATTACGATGGTCCGACCACACATCGATCTTGTGTGGACTGCCGGCTAGATAATGTCTCCATGTTCCGAAGGTCTTCATGATGGCCAGAAGTTCTCTGTCGTGTACGTCGTAGTTTCGTTCAGCTTCCGTCATAGATGATGACAGGTAAGCGCAGGGATGCCAGTGTCCATCTTGCTCCTGAGATAATATTCCTCCGATAGCGAATCCTGATGCATCGCATTCTACTCGGAACGGTTTCCGAGGATCTGGTTGGATGATGACCGGTGCGGTGGTAAAGGCCTTCTTGAGTTCGTCGAAAGAGGCTTGTTCCTTGTCTGTCCATTGCCATGGATGGTCCTTCTTGGTAAGGTCATTAAGGGCTCTGGCCTTTCCTGAAAAGTCGTGTATGAACCGTCGATAAAAATTGCCAAAGCCCAGGAAGGCTCTGACATCCGTAAGGTTTTTCGGGGTTGGCCAGTTAAGAACTCCGTCAAGTTTAACTGGATCCATAGAAATCCTCCCGTGTTCTAGGATCATACCGAGATATTCGACTTCCTTGGCTTCAAAGGTACATTTCTCCGGTTTGAGGAAAAGGTCGTGGTCTTGTAACCTTTTGAGGATTTCCGTGACAATGGTTCGGTGTTCTTCCAGGGTCTCTGTTCCGACTAGGATATCATCCATGTAAATGACGACTTTTCCGGTGGCGATTAGGTCTTGGAAGATGTCGTCCATCATGGTTTGGAATGTGGCGGGCGAGTTGGTGAGACCGAAGAACATGACCATGGGTTCGAATAGTCCACGGTTGGTGAGGAAGGCTGCCTTCCATTGATCTCCATCGGCAATTAGGAGATTGTTGTATCCGTAGCGTACGTCCATCTTGGAAAACCATAGAGCTCGTGCCACTCGATCGAGTAATTCGGTGACCAGGGGTAATGGATAACGATTCTTGATGGTCATCTCGTTGAGTTTTCGATAGTCCTGTACTGGTCGTAACTTTCCATCTTTCTTCTTTACGAAAAAGAAAGGTGATGCGAGCACCAGAGCTTGCAGTGGCATTACAATGTGAAGCCGAAAGTCCCGTCCATCAACATTGTAATTCCAGCCCAGTCCCTCCGCTTCTACCTGGCATGCTTCCTTGCTTCTTCTGCTTACTCAGCTAGGGAAGCCGTCAGACCTGCCTGGTGATCTGGAACTCTCCTAATCTGGACGTTTCTCCATCATTTATTATTAATGAACTAGCTTTTTTCGCTTTCATTGCCCTAGACTTGGGTTTCCTGTTCGGCCTTGGCCTGTGCCACTGGCTCCTACAGCCCTGCCCTACCCTTCCTCCTCCCTCACTATATTCTTACTTCTGGCTTATCTATGTATACATATGACCTACATAGAGTACATATCTACCTAATTCATTAATACTGTAGCCCAATTCATGGCTTGCACAATTTTATTTCGATTTTTTCGTATTTTGTGGCCCAAGTGTGGCCTTACATTTCCTCCTGCTCTGCACTTGTTTTCCAGACAAGATACCTGAAGCATGAGATTTTGGGTCTCTTATATATGTACCTTACTCACAAAATATCTGATCACACCAGGAAAGCAAGAAAAATGGATGAAAATCAAATATATTTCGCATTTTTAGCCTAATTACATACTACATGCTCTAGAAAACTTTACAGGGAAGATACAGACTCAGAGAGAGGATGTACATGTAGGTTAATATGGTAGGAAGATACACAGACAGAAAATAGAGCAGGACCAAAGGTTCCTGCTGCTCTGGAAGTGTATGTAGGGGTAGGAGGGAGAGGGGGAAAGGGTGGCCATAGAAGAAGAATGGATGGATGGATGGATGAAAACTCACCTTGGCCAATCCTCTAATGACCCATAGATTCTCCCCAAATAGAAAGAACTCGAACCAGAGGGCCAGGAAGGGCTGGGCTGGGTGTTGGGCTAGATGAGGTGGTGAGGCTGAAGGCTATTGTGAAGGAACTGGTGGAGGGAAAAGGATGGGGACAGCTGGAGGGGGTAGAGGGAGTATAAGAAGGATGGGACAGATGTTGGTTTGGGGTAGTGGAAGGGCTAGATGTATGGGAAGAGAGGAAGGGAAGGTGGGGG